TCGCTCAGGGGTAACACAGGGTCATTGCTGCTACCCGTGGACTGCCAAACTGTAGTAATTCCATTTCAGGATTCTCTAACTTCCTCTGAAAGCTCTTTTCTAAAGCATGCAGGAAAAAAGACATGGGGCATGAGGGACTTCCCTTACACACCAGGAGTGGAGTGCGGTGGACTGGAGGCTTATTTGGTCGGTGTTTCACCCCAGCAGTGTCCCTACACCATCTCCGCTGGGACTCTGTTAGGTTGACTTACCCATTCTGTGTACATGGGATGCAGTTGAAAGCACAGCAGTGTATGTACAGCAGAAAATTCTTCTTTTACTCTTCTTTGCCTCTTGGACCACGGGAAGAGCCTTCAGGACTTAGTCACTGCTGTGCCTTCAACCACATCCCATGTACACAGAACGGGTAAGATCCGGAGATTAACTACTAACCAGCTTTGACTGCTTTGCAATCGAACTTCTCCTTTTTGTAGATCAAAGAAGTCCTTGAGAATCCTCATTTGCTGACAGTGATCAAAATAGAAGAAGCTGGAGATGAAATTGTGAGCAATGCCATTTCCTTTGCTCTGTACAAAGGCAAGTAATAGTTTTTCTGGTTTGGGGTTGTTAAATAAGTGGGAAAGGATGGCTGTTTATTTTCTAGAGCAGCTTTCTAGAGCAGTGCCATCTCTAGAGCTAAGCTTCTGCCACAGTGTAGAGCTTGTCTTCATCTGGAGTGGCAGTGTTATGGGATGTGTTAGTGTGGGCAGGATCCAAACTAGGTAATTGAGAAGGCATTTAGGAGAGCTTTGGGGATGCTGATAGGGCCCCATGGGGAATCCTGTAGAATCTGTCATGTAGACGGTGCAAGACACTGAGGAGCCTGAAGGAAATGTGCTGATTATGGTTATGAGATGCTCCCAGTGGCTCCTTTGTGGCCTATGCTGGACCATAAATATGTTCCTAAGCTTCCAGCATCCTCTAAAGCCCAGTCAGGAATATGTGCATGAGCCTGGACAAAGACACTTGGAATGCTTCTTGTCAGATAGAGGGAGAAGTAGAGATGATGAGTATGCCAAATAGCTCTCTGGTCTTTACCTAGAGGATTGTTCTTCCTCTGCAGCTTTCAGCACCAATGAACATGACAGGGATAACTGGAACGGGCAGCTGAAGCTGCTGCTGGAGTGGAACCAGTTGGAGCTGGCCAGCGATGAGATCTTCACCAATGACCGAAACTGGGAGGTATAGACCCCTTTGGTGCGAGCACAGGGACATGGGACAGGGAGCTGTGGGAAGAGAGACAGCCTAACAGGAAACACTGTATTGGCACCCCAACCTCTGTCATAAGACACGTCTTCTGACAACCTGCATGGGGGGAAAATTCCTTCAAGCAAAAGGGGAGCTCCTAAAAAACCCCAACATCTCGGCTCTCTGGTGACCAGTGACAGGACCCAAGGGAACAGCATGGAGCTCTGTCAGGGGAGGCTTAGGCTGGATATCAGGAGAAGTCTCTTCCCCCAGAGGTGTTTGGG